TTAATCCCGTTTCCGATAGAAAAAAATCCGGTCCCGCACAAAAAACACATTCCTTTCCGCTTCAGCTCGCTCGGCTTCCACTCTTCAGTCACGCAAGTCCATTCGGCTGGTGCCTTCATTTTCGTAGGAAAGACAGTCCCCCACATGCGACTGCAATAATAGGAAGAATGGCGTCCTCACTGATTTATTTATTTGTTTGCTGTCGGCTTTGAATTTTCTTTTTTTTCTTTTTTTTCCCTCTATCTCTCTCTGTCTGTGTGTGTGTGTGTGGTTTTTTGAGATGTAAATTGGTGATGATCAAAAGCAAAAAAAAAAGAAAAAAAAAAAGGAACAAAAAGAGGTGTCTTTTATTTTTGCCCCTCCTTTTTTTTTTTTTTTTTGTTACGTGACAGGGCACTGCGCATATCATTTGTTTGATGTCTGTTTGATGTATATATTTGTGTGTGTGTGTGCGGATGTTTACGTCGGCAGTGTTCCCTTTTTTCCTGTTTTCTTGCAGTACACACGGCGCCATGAATGAAGTGCGTCCATGCGAGTTGTGGGACTTTTTAAAATTTATTTTTTTTGTGTGTGTTTACTGTCGTCCTGTCGATTTCTTTTTATTTTTATTTTTAAATTCGTTTTTGGCGGTTAGTTTGATTTAATTGAAGGGACGGGGGGAAGAAGTGACACGGAAGAAGCCAACCAATCAACAGGCAAACAGACAGAAGGACTCAGGCAACAGCCGCACGGCTTGTATACTTCACATTGCGGATGCCGGCGAAGGATCTCAGTGACCTTCTCAACGTGCCCGTCCCGACGCATGCCATTCAGGCGGAAAAGGGACCAGGGACGAGGAGGAGCAGCACACTGCGCTCGCGGATGCATCCCATTGCGGTGACGGATTATGGGATGAAGCCGACGCCGGTAGCGCGTAGCAGCAGGAAAAAACAACTCCAAGCTGAAATTCTTGACGAAATCAACGGCCGTGGGTCTCAGCATCGCATGTATGCGGTGTTTTACTGGATCTTTTTTCTTCTGCTGATTGTGGGAGTGGCACGGGCCGTCTTCTTGTACTGGCCGGAGTTTTGGTGAGCAGAAATTCCCCCTCTTCCTCCTGAAAGAGGCTTTTGGAGTTGATGGCATCTTAACTGCAAAAAGGAAAAAAAAAAAAAAAAAAGCGGATCGTCACGAAATGGAGGAGGTGGCGGTGACGCACGGAAATTTTACGCATCATTTCTCCCTGAGAACAGAACGTGATATCAACATTATTATTTTATTCGTTTGCACATGAAGGCGTGACAAAGATATGGAAAGAGACTGAGAGAGCGTATGTGTGCGTGTGTGCGTGTGTGCGTGCGTTGGTGTAGATGAATGTGCCTTCAAGGGCCCTATTTCTCCAGCCAATTTATCATTTCTTTCTCACCCCCCTCTATCTCTCTGTGTTATTGTTGTTTTGCGTGCATATATTTTTCTGTTTCCCTCATGTGTTTAAAAGTTTATTATTTGAATTGTACTGCTTTTCTTTATTATTATTTTTATTATTTTTATTTTTCTGTCAGTTCATGTCTCTACGGGAACAGTGGTGTCACCTCGTGGAGGAGGTGGCTGGCATCAACAGCACCGATCCATTGCCACGAGAGTACACTCCCGTGGAGTACCTTCCGGGCGGACGCGATATATCAGAGGCGGTGCTGCAGCACATCCGCGCTGCTGCTGCTGAATTTGATGCGGAGTCGCGTGCGCTCTTCCACCCTCAAATGACACCCGAAGAGGGGTATCATGCGGCCCCGGTTGTGGCTTGGCAGGGCACATTTTCCTC